AAAAAAAAAAAAAAAAAAAAGAGAGAGATAAAGCCCTATTTTAAAACCTTGATCAGACTTGACAATCACAAATCCTAGTAAATCCAAATGGAATGAGAACCTAAAAAAGCGTCCTGACAGACCTGAAGGCCCACCTGTGAGTATCTCTCAGCAGTTCCATCTCTAGCTCATTTCCAGGGAAAGCCCTCGGGCGGTGAAAGCATTTGGTTCTAAAATGAAACTTAAGTTACAGCAACAACAGACTCATTTTTATTTTTAGGGCACCGAAGTCAGGAAGGGACAAGTGAGGCTGCTGTGATGCATGTTAGGTTTCCGAAGCAGAAGATGCCAGTGGCAGGCAGGAGGCAGCTGGGCCTATCTTGGGGACTATGATAGGCAACAGTCCATTTTGGAAAAGATGCTATTCTATTTGAGCACGGAGCTTGGGAATCTGCTCTGCTTATGGAAAGTAGTTTACAAAAGACACAGCAAGGGAAAGCACTTGTGAGTAGGATAGGGAGCTGGACCAAACTGCGGGGAGTTGTAGAATTACAAGTTTATCATTCCTTAATGCAAAAATTTACAGGCTGGCCACATTCATCACGATTCAGTCCATTATCGAAGAGGCCTCAACTACATGAATGTTCCAAGAAAAAATGAAGCATGCATTATGGCTGTGGAAGATGACAGCACCAGACAGCGGTGGGCTTTTACTTTCTCTGCAGACTAGGGAGTGTTGTAGAACATAGTATGTGAAACTTGCTGGAGTGGAAGGAGGTGGGAAGCCAATCTTGCATCAAATCAACAGGACTTGGAGATACACTGGATGTGTGACCTGAGAGGGAGATGCGAAAGAGAACTCTAGGGCTTAAAACCTGGGTGACTAGGTAGACCGCACTACCTTGTGAAGATGACGGGGAAGCATAACTCAAGGGTACACCTGCAGAGAGGTAAAGGATTTGGTTTTCTTGAACTTCAGGGCAGAAATCCAAGCAGCTGTGATTCAGGAGAGAGGTCAGGTTAGAATCGTCCATGAAGAAGTGATGGCTGAAGGTAAGGGGGCGGAAAGAATCCCAGAGCAGATTCTGTAATGAGAAGCAGACTAGATACAGAATCCCAAAGAATGTGGACATTTAAGGAATCTCCAGCCAGAGCAGTCAGGGAAGTAACTTGTTAGTAGAGATAATAAAGTAGAAAGGGGGAGATGTTCAGTGACATGACAATTTACTAAGATTCATTCACTTAACACATATTTCTTCAGTATCCCACTGTGCCAAGCATTATGGTAAGAATGGAGTAAGAAAGAAACCCACATACCTTCTTCCCCTGAAACTGTAGCCTGAGGGTCACATTCATTAGTGAGATATGCACACAAATAACTACCAAAATGTCAGATGGTCAATGTGATGAACAATGCAAGTCCCAAGGTAGTCTCGGAACTTGACGGAGTGAAAAGGAGAGGTAAAATGGTAATGGGCTGCAATATAAAGAATGGGTACAAATTGTCTGAAGACGGTATGATGATTAGGAGTATGGCAAATATGAAGGTCAGAGCAAGAGTGCATGCCAATTATTCATTTATTCAGCAAATATTTCCTAAATGCCTCATATGTTCTAGGTACCCTCAGGTGCTGGGGAATCAGAGGTGAACGACACTGACAAAGTACCTACCCTTACACTTGTCTACATCCTAGAGGGGAAAACAGATAAATAAGTAACCTCAGACAGTGGAAAACACCATTAAATATACAGACACAGTTTCAGATAAAAGAGAGTGGGGCTGCACAGAGTGGCAGTTGGTGGCCCTCTCTGAAGAGGGAGCATATGGGCTGAGAGCTGAAGGCAGGACACAGGCCTTGCAAATAAGTGATGGGGACTGTGCCAAGCAGAGGGAATAGCAAATGCAAAGGCCTTGACCAGAACTAAGCAAAGAGACCAGAGTGCATTCGGTGGAGAGCATATAGGATGTAACGCTGAAGGGCCAGGCACGGCCAAACTAAAAAGGGCCATATAGGCTGTAAGGAGTACAGATATGACCGAGTAGATCAGGAAGCCACTGGAGACTTGTGCAAGAACAGTGACATGACTCCGTTAATGTTTGCAAATTATCTGGTTACTGGGTGAAGAATGGACTGTAGGGGGCAAAATGAAACACAGCTAGTCAGGGGACTACGTCGTAATCTAGGGAAGAAGCAGTGGCTTGAGCCTGTGAGACAGTGGCAAGTTGGAAACAGGACGTGGAGCACTCGGGCTGAGAGGAGGCACAGAGGGTGGTACTGGATGGGATTCTTAGAATCTGGAAGTGACACAGGGGTAATGACAAGCTCTTGTGAACCTGTAAATACAGGTGAAGTGGAGAGATGTTCACTAGAGATGAGGGGGTCCAAAAATCACCATGAAGATACTGGGGGGCTGTCTTCGTAGATACCAGAGTCAGTCAGGATTATGGCAGCCTCTGGGTGGTAGAAGACTCTTGGCCATGTGTCAAGTCTTTAATACACGAAAAATATTCCCAACAAGGTGGCGGAGTGGGCAGTCCAAAGGCACAAGCCTGAAAGGAGCAAGGTTTTCACAATCAGGTAGAGAAGTTCTGTTCTTGCAGAGGCTGGGGAAGTGGTGGCAACCATGGCCATTATTAACCCCATCGTTGGTGCCGAGGTCAGTGAATAAAATGGAAAGGTCACCCCTTAGAGGGCTGCGAGTGAAGGGATGATCTCAGGAGATGACCAAATTTCAGTTCAATAAGGAGAATGCGGCGGTAATGCTCATGAAAGGCAGAGGTTCTGAGGGATGACGACCAAGAAAAAGGCTAATTGATTTAGCAATTAAGAGGTCAAAAAGACTAAATCTTAAAGGAAGGGAAAGGAAGATTATTCCAAGTTTAGACGGCGTTATACATTCTTAATAATAATTTATTAGAAAAGTCATCCCATTCTCTAGAATCACTAAATGGTTTTTAAACAGCACTGAGATTTTAAATAGTTAAGAAATCAGGCACATAATTTCCTTCAAAGTCTTCAACAGGACAGTCTTTACCTCAAACACAACCACTCTGTGAGAACCTACTATGTTCCTGGAAAAAGTCCTTTCAAAGAGTCCAAGTGAATTTCAACAGCCTGCTTTCACTAAGGACATTAATGTGGCCCTCTCTTTGCTATTAGTACACATAGAAGGCACTCAGAACTGGAAAAAATAAAGCTTATAAAGCTTATTATCAGATTTCAGTAAACTCTTTGACTGTAACTAACAAAGAGTCCTGGAATGTATGAGGGAAGTCAACAGAGAAACCCAGGCCAAAGGACTATTCTTTTTTATCTAATTTAACTCACTAATGTGTTAAGTGCCTTCTATCCCTATACTCCGATGTGAACGTCATGCTCAGGATACAAAATTAGGTAATGCACCTGGTGTTGCCCGCCAAGTGACTAACAATCTAGTTAGCAGAATGACAGAAAAGTACAGAAGTGAATACAATATCAGGTCACATTCTAATGGAAAGTATTCTGAAATGTTTTGAAAAGGAAGAATATAACTTATGTTTCATGAGAGGGAGACATGGTACTAGAGATAGGTTTTTAAAGAATGGAAAGATATCCTCAAGTAAAGAGAAAGATGGAAAAAAATTTTCTGCAAGAATAGCAGAGAACAAGGGTTCCAAAAGGATGAGGTGAAATGATCTGGGAAATCCTTGAATTGGTTTTAATCCAGGAATTCATTCATTCAACAATAACTCCACAGTAGGCAGAGAGAGAAACTGGTCAAGCACAGTCTGACAAAACATACCAGATCTATATTTCTATATAACTGAATCAATGTAATGCTGTAAAAGGGAAGGACCAGAATGTCAGCCTGAGACCTTCCCAGAATTGACTGAAGGGTTTTTTGAGGGATAGAGGGTGTGTGCCATTATTGGGCAAAGTCATTCATAAAATAAACTTGGTAGTAAGGAGCAGGATGGACGGGAGGAATTAAAATCAATTATTCCTGCTGGGTATGGTAGCTCAGGCTTGTAATCCCAGCACTTTGGGAGGTGGAGGGTGATGGAGCACTTGAGGCCAGGAGTTCAAGACCAGTCTGGCCAATATGGTGAAACCTTGTGTCTACTAAAAATAAAAAAAAATTAGCCAGGTGTGGTGTGGTACATGTGCCCGTAATCCCAGCTACTCAGGAGGCTGAGGCATGTGAATTGTTTGAACCCAGGGGGTGGAGGTCACAGTGAGCCAAGATTGTGCCACTGCACTCCAGCCTGGGTGACAGACTGAGACTCTGTCTCAAACAAACAACAACAATAACAACAACAACAACAATTATTCCAACAATTTCAGAAAGAGGTACTGTGGGGCCTGAACTAGGAAAGGGCAAGGATGACAAGTTAGAAGGTATAATGGATATAAAATCCCATAGGACTGAATTGATGAGATGTGAGGAGGGAGCTAGAGTAACTGAGTTTTTAGCTCAGAAAAAAAGAAACACTGTATTTACAGTTACCAAGGAGGACCTAATTTACAGAAGTACTTTCTGAATATAATGAATTTGTGATGCAAGTAACATACACTCAAGATCCCTAGCTAAGATGCCTAACAAATAACTAGAAACGCAGGGCTGAGGGAGAAGGTGCAGGGAGTCAGAGAAACAGAGTGACCTGAACTCCCCTCAACATGTACACACACACACACACACACACACACACACACACAGACACACACACACACACATCACAGGTCAAGCTGCTACAAGCAAAGAGTGGCTCTCCAACAAACATGGCAATAAGAACAAAAGACAGTTGAAGAAAATGCTAGGCTTGTACTTTCTGACATAACTACACCTTGAACAATCCAAATGCTTGCAATTTGCTTTGTTAAAAACGTGTGTCAACGTTGTTATATATGGATTATCATCTTGATAAAGACCCAGCATATTTAAAGAAGGTTTTCCCACCTTGTGCTCATTTCCTCTCTGAGGCCTAGTTCTGCTGTGCTCATCTCTCACGCGCATAATACCCTCTCCACATTTCCAATGTGTCACAAGATGGCATTTGAATTTGAGGTCACAGTTAGAGGTCTGGTTATTGTATTTTACATTGATGTATGATAGAAAGCTCGGTTCTAAGTAGCATACAAACAGACCAGTGAGTTCGCCAACAAATACTCATTGAAGGTTTCTACTATGCATCAGGTGTTATTCTCATTTGAAAATCTTGCCTTATAAAAATAAGCCAATGTAAGAGTCAGCTTTCTGAATTGTAAGCAGCCTTTAATCCACTAACCTGAGATCTTCTATTTTTGCTGTGTTCACACGTCATATCCCATACAATCGGTACCATGATTTTAATCAAATAGTTATATACTAGCCCCAGAAGTCTCCATTTGAGTAGCAGGTGGAGAAGAAAGTCCATTTTTGGCTTATGTTGAAATTAAACTATGCTGTTTTTCCAACTACATATGGAGTGCAACCTCTGCTAATTCACCTGAACAGACAAGAGGACTCAATGTGAATTATTCAATAAATACTACTTTATTCATTAACTTGGAATATGCATTTAATTATAATTTCTGATAATATCTAGCAATTCATTTTGTTAAATAATTAGAAGAGAGACTCACACCTTGTATAAATCTTTATGGAGAAGGGTAGTTACATTGTGGGTATGTGTGGTGGAGGAGGACTTCAGGTGATTTTTTTATTTTCTAGTATACTTAAAAAAGTCTTGTCTTGAAAAATATGCACAAGACAATGTTGCACAATTCTGTATCTTATGACCTGGACAGCTACATAACTGTTATATTCATTTCTGCTGTAAAAATCTATAGTAAAAGTATATTACCTCTATATGCATATGGTGAATGTATATGCTCTGTTACATGAAGACACACTAATGACCCATCTTCTTGGGTCACTTCTGCCCCTAAAACACACTGTACCTCCTACTACATAAGTAGCTGAAAAATGGATAATATGCTGTGACAAAGCTAAAAGGGAAATAATGCTGGGGTTGACCAAAGAGCCACCATGTAACAAATGTGGCACTGAATGAATGCACAACATATTATCTTACTTCGTCTCTTCACATCTTTCTCGCTGAGGAGGTGCCATTCCTGATTCATGGATGAACTGACTGAAGCTCACAAAGCAATTATGCATAAAGTCACTCTTCCCAGTGGTCAACTGGCAGAGTCTAAACTCAAACTTGGATCTGTTGCACTCCCAAACCCATACTCTGTTGACAGCACTACATGCTTCCTGGTAAAGTGTCATTTGTCAATTGCAGTAGATGTGAGTCTGTCACTCTCATAAACAAAAATTCTCAAGAATCCTCCAATCCATTAACCTGCCCAAAAGGATCTAAACATTTAAACATTTTATAAAATCAAAAGTCAAGACTGGAGGACGGGAAGTCAGCTCAAGACTCAGAAGCACCACCTGAGTCACAGCAGCTGTGATTCCACAGTGGTTTAACTGGTCCAAATCCCCTAGCCAAGGTGTTTCCTTAAATACACCCACCAACACACTTACTTACATCCCTTCCGCCTCAAAACAGCAGCTGAGGCAAGAAGCATCATCTCATTAGCTCTAGTGTTAAGCTACAGCTCTGGGTACAGCTGTTGGTTACCTAAGAAGTAACTACAAAACAAGGGATAGTACTTCTTCCCTAAAGGAACCTTTCCACTTTCTCCACAAGTTCATATGGAACTTGTAGGTATCTGGGTCATTACTTGATTAATCACATAACCTTGTTATTTAGCATTGCTCGAAATAGACCCAACTTTCACCTTCAAATATATCATAGTTCTTGGTCAATAAGACTTGTCAATCCGTCAACAACTATTTGCAAAACACACACAGGTACATAGAATGTTATGGTAATTGGTATTTATACCTTCAACTCTCAAGGAACTCTAATTTGTCTTTTCTCCCCTATTAATAAGTCAAATATTTACCAAGCAACTAGACTATGGAGCCAGCACTGCATTCGATGCAACAAGGATGGTTAAGGTAGGGTCTGTAGAAAAGTATTAATACATTACAAAAAGAAGAACCAAGATTCAGATTCCTCGGATGAAAAGTAAAGAAAGGGTCTAGGTTAGGCAACACTGAAGGGACGGGGGAGAAGAGAGCACACAATTAACACCAAAGTGCCTGAGTGTGTGGGAGTGAATAAACAAGCAATGGGAAGTCGAGAAGAAAGAGATCAGCACGTACTAATTCCCTGAACAAACCTATACTGTGAGCATCACTATGAACCAGGTCCCATTCTAGGCAGTGAGGCTACTTCTATAACTCAGCAGCAAAAAGTTCTGCTCTGTTTTCATGGAACTTACAGTCAAGTCAGGGAGAGGCAGATAATGGCTATACAGAAGCATTCAAAAGGTAGTAGAACAGGACAGAACAATAGGGAGGAAGGGAGAGAAGGATAATAGGGTTGTCAGGGCAGAACACTCTGACATAATGACATCTTAGATAACTAAATGAGACACTAAGCCGCAGAAACTTTTGCAGGAAGGACGGTAAGTGCAAAATGCCTCAAGGCAGGCAAGCTACTAGGGAAGCCTCTGGGAAAAGGGGCCTTGAGCTGCTACTGAGGGTCAGATCTGGACAGCCCTGGAGACTGGGAAGACAGCACATATATGGCATGTGTAGTGACAGAGGGGATGCTCAGGGAAAGAGTGACAAGAATAAATGCACACACACAGATGACTAACAAGGCAAGGAGGATTTGCGGGGGAGGCTTCCCAAAGGAGAGTAGAGAGAAAGCCAGCTGGGATTTTAAAGGAAGAGCCAGTGCTACTTTACAATAAAGTCTTTGTTTCTGGGAAGATGAAGCCAATTAGCAGAGACAACTGTGATTAGGTAGTAATAAAAAGGTGCATTAGATTAAAATAAATTATTTGGAATGAGATACCGTGAGAGATCAGAATACCCAAAGGGAGGCTAGAACAACTGGCGTGTTGTGTTTTGTCTCTCATAACTCAAGGATTATCTGTGAATACAGAGGCTCCAGATGCCCAGAGCATGGTATAAGAAGTCAACTGGGCAAATCACCTTTTCTGAAAACAGAACTTAGCATAAGAGCACCCTTATTTCCTTTCAGCCTTTGAAGTTTGGCATGTCCTTTCCCAACATATTCAAATTTTGAACATCCAGGTTTGCACATAATAATCAGACTTTTTGAACAAAGAATTGCCTTGAAATCTGCAACAGATGTAGAGAAGACCTGACTACTGGAGATGTCTCTGCAATTTGCATTCACATATTAAAGCACAAAATGTTAAAGTGCAAAACCCCTTCTTGTACTCTTCTTGTTCTAAGAGAAAATGAAAAATATCTTGCAAGGTAAAAAATACAAGTCATGGGAACTCCCCCAACACTGTCTTGTGGTACTCAAAGTCTAAGGGGCCAGCAAGGGACCCAAGTTTGACACACAATGCGTACAGAGGCAAAGGGTACTCACGGTTTTCCTCCTGGAATGCCTGTCAGGTTTGGAGGTATTGCTGGCACACGCATGTGATGGTGTGGATCAAACCCCACCTACAATTTTTCCCAAGCAAACAACAAAAACAGCACAGTTAATTTGGCTTGGTTTTATCCTTCTCAAAATCTATTCTAAAACCTGGGAGAATAGATCCTTTAAAAATAAGGTTTTAGAGATGAAATGATAAAATGTTTAGGATTTAATGATAACCTACTTGGAGGTAGAACATAGATTAAAAAATTATGCTAATGATTATTGAAGCACACGGTAGAACCAAAGTGTTCATTACATTCATTATACTATGTGATCTAATTCTGTAGGTTTGAAATTTCCAAAATTAGTATTATTTGGGAAAATTTAAAATTAGTATTTTTTTAAAAAGACACACAAAATTAAAAAGAAACTTCCTCACCTTACAAAAGAAAATGGATCTCAGATATAATTACATGTAGCTTAATGTATAAATACTCACAGATCTCCAAATACCTCAGGTTATAGAAATTACATTAAAAAATACACAGACCAGGTGCCGTGGCTTATGCCTGTAATCCTAGCAATTTGGGAGGCTGAGGCGGGCAGGTCACATGAGGCCAGAAGTTTGAGACCAGACTGGGCGACATGGTGAAACCTTGTCTCTACATAAAATTAAAAAATCAGCTGGGCATGGTTGCATATGCTGTAGTCTACTTGGGAGGCTGAGGTGGGAGGATCGCTTAAGCATGGGAGGTGGAGGCTGCAGTGAGCTGAGACTGTGCCACTGCACTGCAGCCTGGGTGACAGAGTGAGACCCTGTCTCAATCAATCAATCAAGCAAGCAAGACAATCCTCTGTGTGCTGAAATATTACTTTGTGAAGCTCACAAACGCACCACTGGTGATCTCCCATAGGCGGCGGCAGCGGCGGCGGCAGCGGCAGCTGCGCTCATCTGAGGGGAGATGTTGTGGAGCCCAGCATAGGCAGCTCCGGGGCTGGTCAGCTCTCCATTCATCCCAGCATGGGGCACGATCCCAAATGGAGTTGGATATGGACATGGGACTGCCATCGGGGTCCTTAGGCTTGAGGCTGCAAACCAAAATGGAAGGAAGAAAAATGAAGAACACAGGAAACAACAATGAAGACATTGGTAAACATGCCAAAAAACAGAATTTATGGTTCAAATGAGCTTACTTTAATATTCTCAAAAGTCATTCAAGCCTCAGAGAAGTTCACTCATTCACTTTACTCTATTGAACTTTTACCATGTGCCAGACAAGGCTGGTCCCAGGTGCTTGGTTCAGGTTAAATAATTTTGTTTAATAGCCATTCAATGCTGGTCATTAGCACTTTTAATGTACTATACTCTTTAAATTGCTTTAAATTCTTTAAAAACAAGCATAAAAATATAGAAAAAACTTTTTTCTTACTAACCCAAGGGGTCAACTCCTGGCGGTTTTCCAGGTACAGGCCTCAACCCGGGAGTGGAGTTGCTGCCTGGGGTGGGCGCATCGGTTCGTGGAGTAGGGGTATTGGACTTTGAAACTGGAGTTGTAGATTTTTCATTCTAACAAGATGAAACGACATGTACCAGCAATTAGAATATGGTTTTAACAATGACGTTAAACATTAAAAATGTAAAGGAAAGGAAAGGAGAAAAAGAAATGGAAGAGGTTCTTCAGCTTGGGCCTTGACTTTCATCAATTAAAAAGGTAACAAAGAAGTAAGAGAGTTCCTTGAGGCCACAGAACTAGTATTTGGAAAGATATAAACTGAAGCTGAATTTACAGGAGAGAAGCTCCTTTCTAGGAAATTGGTCTCAGTCGGATGAGGCTCACACAAACCAGGATGTCCGAACTGTGACTGACCATTTGCTGGTGGCTTTGGTAAAGACTGGGGTAACTTTGAGCCCCTGGCAGATTGTTCGTGTCACAAGAGGCTTCCTGGTGCACTGAACAGGTCACATTAGAAAACAGATTCAAGTTTGAACTGTCATAGAGAGAGACGAAACAGAGAGCAGGTGCCATTAAAAGAAGGCCAGAAGGCCAAGAGAAAACAAAAGAAAAAAAAAAGCCCCAACAATCTAGCCCTCTGTCAGACATATCCTCCCTAATTTGCAGACCAACTGAGGAATCTCCTTTCCTTTAGCTGTGAATTCCAAATGTTATTTGAAAACTAAATTTGTCTTTTTATTCTTTTTAAAAATGTTATGTTACAAGGAAATAACTGGTGAGGAAAAGACACACCGCACAAAATTGCAATTAACTACACAGCCACATAAGAATAGGGTACAGAGAGATTATCCTGATGGGTGAGTAGTTCATTTTTGCATTTGTGATTTGTGATGTGAGTCAAGGTACACTTTTGCAAATGACAGATTACTTTTTAGATAGAAAGAATAAATTACTGCAGTCATATGTAGCAAAGCTAGCAACAAAATCACATTCAAGCCCCAAACTAAATTTACCATAAACCACAGGTAACAAAACCATCTCTGTAACCCCAGTGTGCATTTTTCTTCTTTGCTAAGACGTATTTCACTCAATTTCCCCATATGCCTCTTCTATCCTTGCAAAAAGAATCACAAAATAAACACTCATCACCAATAAGTTAGTAAACTTATTCTGCTCCACAATACTTTTGTCTATTAAACTTAAATACTTAACATACATATGGACTTGGAAATAAAAGTCCTGTAAAAAATGTGAGAAATATAAAGATAAAAAAAATCAAATTCAAACATCTTGACAGAGCGCCACACTCAGAGAGATGGTAAGGAGCTGCTTACAAGGCTAAGTTCTTTGGATTTGGAGGAAGGAGTACTGCTGGAAGATGCAATAGAAGCTGGACTAATTGGAGCATCTTTCTTGAGCAGGCGTGTCTTGTCCAGGCCATTCTCTCTCGGGGAATGTGCTGGGCTCCCTCGAGGGGAAGATGGATCCTACGAAGGAACATCATGGATAGTAATGCAAGCACAGCACATTTACAATGCTGGGGGTGTTGGGTGTTGGACATTCTAGCCAAAAGCATTTAATGAATGTTTAGAAGCACAAGTGTTCTAGAACAGATAATACTCACTGAAACAACTAACAAAAATATTCAGTATTGAGGACAAAAAAAGATAGTATTTATAGTACTTATTTAAAACCCAAACAAAAATCAGAATCCCACCAATCTGAGAGCTGTAGGCTGACCACAGAGATCTGGTGTGCCTTTACTGCAGTAGAGAAAGACACTTTACTCTTAATAGAAAAGAACAGCGACAAAAAAGGATCAATAATATATAGAAAATCAGTAGTATATAATTTTTATGTAAATAAAATGTGGGTCCCTTTAGAAATCAAGAACACGTTTGGGCCAGGTGCAGTGGCTCACACCTGTGATCCTAGCCCAGGAGTTTGAGACCAGCCTAGGTAACATAATGAGACCCCCATCTCCACCAAAAATTAAAAAATTAGCCAGGCGTGGTGCCGTGTGCCTGTAGTTCCAGCTACTCTGGAGGCTGAGCAGGGCGGATCACCTGAGTGTAGTTCAAGGCTGCAGTGAACTGTGGTCACAATACTGTACTCTAACCTGGGTTACAGAACAAGACTTTGCCTCAAAAAACAACAACGATAACAACAAAAAAACTGACAAGCCTCAAAATATTTTGGATACTAATTGTTTGGACAACTAGTCTTTGATATGGCTGGACAAGAACAGAAAATTAAAGTAGCCACAAACATACCTCATTGGAAACGTCAACCACCAAGTTGTCGTCACTTTTCTCACCATCACTGTCCTACATTGACGAGTGAGAATGAGAAGTGTTACCTTCTCCCCCCGGAAAAAATACCACATTTACCCTACAGAAATCCAGACGAATTCCTCATATCTTATAACAATGAGCTGTACCAAACCATGTTAAACACTTGACAACGTCCTATTTTCTTTAATCCTCATGATGATGCTATGGAGGTGGGTAATATATTTTTCAGATTATGAGACTGATGCACTGCCCACTGTACCATGAGGGCAACCTGATTATATTTTTCAGTTTACACAATTGAAGCTGATGGTTTGTTTATTACTCTAGAGTAGAGGCTGCAAACTTACATGCCCAGGCTAAATCCAGCCTATAGACACGTATGGTCTGGTTTGTCAGTATTTAAAAAAACTGCATATTGGGAGGTAAAAATCCAGATTTTCAGCTTTTATGCAGCCCTGTAGGACACCACCAGGGAAGCAGAGCAGGGGCCGCCTGCCTCCACACTGCCCCATCAGCTTGCTCCCTTTCAACTCCTGTGACCTGCCCAGCCACTAGAGGAAAACGAGCTTCCATCCAGCCTAGGGATGTCTCTGTATGTTTCATTCTATAACATTTGGTATATCCTTCAGCACATGAATCCATCTAGGTGTTTAAACACTTTTATTTTATTTTATATATATATTTTTTCCCTGAAAATTCTAGCTAACCACAGAAAATCCAACCACTCTGAAATAAATGGGGGAAACAAATACGCCTATAGAAACGATCATATGGATTACCCAGGTCTTCTGTTAGCTGTCCAGTGAAGCATTCTATCCTCACCTGCACCTATACGCACACAGGACTTCAGCTAGCCAATTGCCACAGAGCTGTAAATGCAATAAATGTTTTTTTGTCTCTTAAAGGGTGTTACCCTGTGTTCCTGTGTTGGCTGGTAATAGTCAAAGGGTAAAATGGCTGCAGATAAAAAGGCAAGCTGGCCTCCCCTAAAGCAAAGGTGAATGAACTTACATAACGAGCTGCAATTTCCTTTTCTTCCGTTTTCTGTTTTTTGCTCTCGGAGGAGTAGTCTGTGGAGTTTCTGTGCTTCTCGGCACCTCGGAAACTGGCTGATGGAGATACCGAAGAGCTCTGGAATTAAAAGGAGAGGACGCATAGTTGAGAAATTATCATCTATTTAGCAGAGTGATTTTTAAGTCACTTGAGACTTTTCTTTTTGTTCTTTATTAGTATGTACTTGCAAAGCTGTTAAGAGGAGACAGGAGAGAGTGGAGGAAAGGAAAGAAGAAAACAGGGATATAAAGGGAAAGACAAGTAGCAAAAGACAAAGCGGAAAGGAATGGGAAAGAAAGAAGCGAGAAGAGGCAGAGAGATGGGACAGAGGGAGGAGAGGAATCAAAAAGGGTGACAGGAGTTAGTGTAAATGCAAAACAGAGGATGGGTTTGGTTTAAAGGATATATTGTACGCTGAAGTGCCTTTAGAAAGTTGGGAAAGGAAGCAGACATGAGAGAAAAGAGAAGGAGAAAAAGCTAGGCTTTTTTTCTTTTAATTTGCTGGATAAGGGGAAGCCAGCATTTCAAGCTTCTACGGAGAAACTATAAAGTAGAGCTCAAGAGATAATTAGTAATTCAATTTTAAAGAAGGGGGTGGGGAGAAGTAATTTTTGGGGATTTGAGCAACCAAGGACAGTAGTCATGTGACACATAGGTCATATTTATAAAATTTTGCTCAGCACTATATATTAAGGGCCTGGAAGATGCAGAGCGGCAGGAAAAACACTGCCTGCAAAAATGCCAGTATTCCTTTCTCACTCCTACAGTTTCCATGAACCTGCTCCTTTTAATCTCTGGAAACCTAGGAATAGTGCTGGGGCCAGGGAATGGAGAAAGGCTCTCCATGCCTCTTGGGATCACATTTAGGCTCAGCCTGTATGCTTCACCTCAGCTTTCAAGGAGCTCTCAACTGGAGCAGTCTCCCATACACACAAGAGACATAGGTGACAAGACCTGAAGCACAGATAGACCTGACTCTATCTGCCAAAAAGGTCAGGTGGTTATAGGGCAAGAGCTTAAAATCATGGATGAAGAAGTGAAAAAAGTGCCAATGAAAACTGGGACTAATCTTTTCAATTGCCTAGTGACTATGCCTCAGACAGACCAGAGAAAATATCTAAATGCAGGCAATGTGGGAGAGCGGGAGCTGGGTTGAGGGCCACGCTATCCTGCTGGGCGGTGAATGTCAAAAACCTGAGTAGCTCAGTCCCTTGGCAGGGTATCAGGGCAGGGCTCCCAAGTGTGAATTAGCCTAGCCCAGGGTAAGAACGGGCTGATCTTGGAGGGTAGTAGAAAGAATATCTGAAAATCTCTATGGAAAAAAGTTACAGGAAGAACAAAGCATCACCACTGGAACATCTCTGTCTGGAATGCAAATCAATTCAGAAAACTGGTCAGTAAAGCTCTTCCTCATTCATAAATTTATCTTCTGAACTTTTTTTTTTTTTGCTCTGTCTTAGCCTGTTGGTAATAACTGACATTTATAAAAATGTACAATATTTACAAGGGCCTATTAATTAGCTATGGGAGAAAGTGTGTTATGCAGAACTTTTGGGTCTGTGTTATTTTATTTCTACTGAACCATAATGTCACAATCTCTTTTGTGGCATTTCTAAACTTCCAAAACACCTTGTTAGAAGACTGACAGGATTTCTTCACATCTTGATGATGGCAACTCTACCACAAGCTCCGAAGGTATACAGGTGGGAGTTCGATGGGGGAAGAGAGATGGGCCCAGTGAGTGGGTGCCCAGTACAAGGGGCTGGGGATCTCTAAACCCTTCCCTGCTGTGCTAGCTCCTCTTGAGGTTTTATATGAATACTCTATCCCTTTCAAACATTCAACTTTAAGCTTAGTGGCTGAAAAGACTGCAGGCATTATTCAGTAAGGCTGGAGACTGATGCAAAACATTACAAGCCAGACAATTTTTTTAAGTGGACGACTTCTTGGCTTTCATGTATCTCCGCTGAGTTCCAAACATTATTCCTAAGTCATAAGACTTGGGTCAACACTTCTGCTTCACTTTCACACAACCCAATGCACTCAGCAGGTTTTCATGACCATTGAAAACATGCATGCAGTCATCATCTACGGATTACTATCTACCATACTTCATGCCTCAATCCCATTTCTAGTTTTCACCCTCTCCAGTCTAACCACCTCACTTGTGGAATTCATATTTCCAAAAGAAAGGCTGAGTTTATTCTTACTCCTCTTTTGAAAGGACAGTTTCTCCTGTTCATAGGGGAAAAAAATTCCAAATTTATGAGTATGGCTATTTTCCAAAGTCTCCACTCCATACCCCAATCCAGAGTCCTGGCCTTGTAACCTACATCAGCACTATGAGCCAGTGTTCCCCTGGGTTCTGTACTTTCATTGCATCTGTAGCCTTTTTTCCCTGGCTTATGGCAATGCCTATTTTCTCAAGATCTTTTGAAATCCCCCACTATCCTTAAGAATCAGCTCTAATGTCACCTTTCAAAGCTTCCTCAGATGCTGTCAGGTGAAATTAATCATTCATTCCTCTTTGTTCCCTTAACATTTTGTTCCTCCAATGAGTAAAGCACTCACAGTAAATTTATTGCTGTGTTTACAAGGCCACTTCCCACTTCAGGCTGTGGGCTCCTGAGGGTGGGGGCACCTCGCATCATGAGCAGAAGAGAACCACCCAGAAATATTTCTAAACACAAATGGCTGAACATCCCTTCTGTACTCCTCAATCTCACTCCAAATCTCTCATGAAATATTTCTTTTCCGAGTGTAAGTAAGATGAACAATTCCATGAGATACCAGTCACTAGAGTAAGATTTATGTGGTGGTGTCCTTGGAATCAGTAATATGGCAATTCAGCCCCTTCTCGCCTTTGCTCCAGTTACCTCCCCTTAGATGCCCTCATCCAAATAATCTGACACTTCACACACACAAAAAAAGAACAATGGAGTGTATGTATCTTTTATTAACAATTCTCTGAGCATTCCAACCCTGATATATTCTATTGAAAGTTATTTCCACATTAAGAGGAAAAATTTCTAAACAAAACAATTTCTTAAAAATACTAAAAGGCAATGCCTAGTTAGATTTTTATGTTTATTTATTGGCTCTTATGTACAACCAAATACTTTATTTTTCTTAAGCTAGCTGTTTTTGGGTGTGCAGGCACCATTATATTTTTGAATTTGACTGTAGAACAGAGTTACATGTTGGAGTTTCCTGGTAGAATGATAAAGTAGTTAATTATCACTAGCATTTAAAGGTTAAGCTGCACAATGGGCACTGGGGCAATCAGCAATGTTCTAATAACATAATTACTCTAGAATCAAATTGGACTTGGCACAGACTCTCATCGTGAATCTTGTAAGTCCACCATTCTGCCACAGGAATGCCACTTGGATCTTTGCTGGGCACGTGAATAGGAGGAATTAAATAAATACTGATAAAGTCATGCTTTTACTAGAAAAGCTTTTTTATTTCTCTATTATGATTTTAAAAGCTCAATTTAGAGTAAATTATTTCTCAAGCTTACTTCATAAGAAACTTACTGAAACTATATTGTGACCCTATAAATCTACAAATTTGGAAGGATTAAACACAAATCTTTCTCACTACAGTTTGAGTGTGTGTGTGTGTGTATCTCAGCAAATCTGTTAAGATCGGAGAGTCACAGTCAGAAGCAATGGCTGATCCAGAGAAAGCAGAATACCCTGAATGTGAATGTTTAGTAAAGCTCCAGATTTTAAAAGTAAACATTTATACTGGGATATTTAAAAAGAACAGGCTAGATTTGTTTAAGAAAAAGAGAGGAAAACAAGGAGAAAACAATAAAAAATAATAATAAAAGTTTAAATCTTATTACATGGAAACCTCAATTGCTTTGGTAGCAAAAGGTAAGTTTTAAAAAGCGATTTCCAACATCATAAATCAGGTTCTAATTTCACTATGAGAAGATTCTGGTTTCCAAAGTCCATCCCAAACTTGACTAAGGCTGTTGACCAAGTCAGATGGAAAAACTGACACCTCCAGCAACTTGAAAGGGATGGCCCCACCCCTCCACCTTTACTCCTCTGCCACTTCAAGATCAAAGATGGCAATGTATGTGAAAGACTTCTATAAAGTAGCTCCCCCCCAAAAGAAGATGCCATTGTTATAATTAGCTAATTTTAATAACAGGGAGCACAGATTTTAATAGCAGGCAAGAGCATCTCTCTGGAGTCAGACTGCCTGGTGTGAGTCTAGAGTCTTCACTTAATAGCTGTGTAGCTGTAAGGGATGTGCTTAAGTCTCAACCTCTCTTTAGTCTGGGGTAACAACACCCTATCCTCAGCCCCACAGGGGTGCTTTGAGGACCAAGAAAAATAACCCACATAATGTACAATGGACAATCACAGGCACATAGCCTAGCCCCTCGACAGTGCGACTTAGTCCTATCACTGTACCCGGCACTCCAGTTGACTCTACTTACTTTAGAGATTGGGATGGTGAGCTACTGTGGGTCTTCTATTTTCTATCTTATCTAGGTCTTTTCTAGACATTTGTATAGCACTTCCCCTAGCACAGATCTTCTGATAGCCCATAATTACAGGGTTTCAATATGCTGCTATTTACCAAAACTCTTCTTTCAACAATCACAATGAAGTTTTAGTTCCATACTGCACCAAGGCAAGAGGGCAAATACCATCTCCGTAATGGACTTTCTAATTTGATTTCAAATGTACACTATGCTAATTTTGGTTTCCATTCACGTAGGTGCAGCACTTAGATTTCCCTGCCCAGAGAAGATAACAACCAGAAAGAACATGCTAAAGGTCGCATGGACAACCACGATCAAGAAGCCTAAAACTCATTTGTTATGGCTTGTTTGCTCATCAGCTATGGCCCTCAAAAATCCTATCTACATGGTACCAACGGGTAGATCAGTTTTCACACAGATAAACGGGATAATGAGGAGTCAGAAGCCGCCATTAAGATCTGCCAAGGGTAACTGCAAGTCCTCGTTTGCCCTTTCTACACCTGTTGTCCAGGCTTCCCTTCACTCTCAAAAACAGCCGTGTTTAGATGACAAATTATAGTTACTCTAACTA